TCTTCTCGGTTTTCACTAGAGAAGGTTGAACTTGGGTGGAGGGCATCCAGATGTGTTGCACATCCAGACAGCTGTGTAGCAAGTAGGTATGCAGTGAATGTTTCCTGAGTTGAATTAAATGGAATTGAATGAGCCAATTAGACAAAGTTCTGAGGAAGTAGAACGGCAACGCCTCCTCCCTAAACATGGTTATTTGATCTAGTTGTAGATGTTATTCCTAACCTCCAACCTCAGTTTAATGTAAATTATTTACACCCTGGAGAGCAAGGGGTCACCCTCATTCACGTATTCCCTTGGCCTACCTTATCCTGGGCGCTCAGTCCGCTGCTCTCCCCTCTCTCTTGGCAGCCGGGAGCACATTCTTGGCTTAGGAGCCATTTACCAGTCTGCACTAAACAAAACCAAACAGCCCCCAACCCCTAATCTCAGCATCTGCATGGGAACCCTGGCAGTGATACCCTTCAGACACAGACACAGACACACACACAGACACAGACACACAGACACACACACACAGTAAAAGTGCTTTTCTGTGGCTCTTTGAAATAGAGTCCTTGATGCTTATGGCAGGACAAGCAAATGGAAATCCTAAACAGAAAAGAATCTTTCCTGTCCAGTTTGCTAGACTGGAGCCGTGAGTGTGGGAGGCTGTGGAGCGACACATCACCTGGAATGCTAATGCAGGAGCCTTCTTAACGGATTCCTAAGGCCTGTTAATTACACTAGGATAAAACTAGAGTTTACATATTATTACCTTTGAAATTTACAGGAAGCCTCATGTATTTTTTTTTTTTTTACAGACAATAAGCCCCCTAATTTGGCAAGTTACAATAGTTCTGATGCTATGTGATCTTCTTAAAAGTGAAGAAATCTTAAAAGAGAAATCAGATCATATTACCATCCTGCCTAAAACTTTCCTCCAGTGACTTCTCACTGTGCTGGGGAGGAAGTCATGCACACCTTGGCAGCCTGGGCTCGGCTCGCTCAGAGTCCTTCTTTCTCTCCAGCAGCACCAGCGCCACTGTCCCCCAGCCCTCACCCCATTCTGATCCAGCCCTCCAAGCCACTGGCCTCCTGTCAGCAACGTTTCCCCTTCAGAGCCCTTGTGCGTGGTGTCCCCTCCGCCCTAGGTCACGTCCTTCCACTATCGCTGCAGGCTCTCTCTCCCTCTCTTCCTTTTGGTCTTCGCTTAAATGTCACCCCCACACAGAGGTCTTCTCCAAACCCTAGTTAAAGTTGGGTCCCGCAGTCCACGTGTCTCCTTTTCATCCTCTCCATCTGCTCCCTTCACAGCACTCCTTCTAATTGGCAGCTTTTTATTTACTGTTTTCCAGTTGTGTCTTCCCCACTAGAATGCAAGTTCCATGATGGCAAGAAACGAGTCTGTCATGTGCACGGCTGTAAGCCCGACGTCTACCCAGGGGCGCGGCAAGTTGCAGGAGCTGCGTTCCCTCACGAGATGGCTCTATGACTCCAACTCTCATTTTAACAGAAAACTTGCTGCAATAAATAAGGGAAGCCGTGAGAGTAATTTTTGAATGTTAATACTGCTTTTTCTCTCACTCCAGGAAGTGACATTTACTATTATGCTAAGTATTCTTTTCCAAAAGTGTTCAAATTATTCACATTTTTCTTACTCCCATAAATGTGGCATACTTAGTCCTCAACCCCTTAAGACCAAATGCTCCAAGAAGCTCCTTAATGGATGGACTCAAGTGAGTTGAAACTCCCACGTGAATCCCCAGATACTGCTTTTGCCAAAGAGTAATTTCCAAGACAGGTCCTAATGTTAACCATCCAAAGACATAAAACACGCACTCTCACACACTCAAAGACGTGCGGTAATTAACGAGACGAGCTGCAAGGAAACTGCCTCCCACCATTCCTGTAACACGCAGCTGAAGTCGTGACACCCATATTTAAAAGGAAGCCACTCACTCCTAGCATTTTCAGGCCTTCGGGTCCAATTTGTCAATGATGGCAGTGGTGAATGTTTTCAGAGTTAGGATTCTGGAATGTTTTGATGAAGAATAAACAAGATATATATATTAAGGGATACACTTTCCCCCTTTAAACTATCTGTAACACTTGGTTCTTTTTGATTCTGGGAGACTGTGATATCGTGAAAGCAGTCACTGATTCATCCCTTTGAGAGCCACCTTTGGGGCTAAGACGTAAATCACATTTTAACATTCGCCGCTCACGCCTGAATCAGCAGTGGGGGGAAGTCAGGAGGAAGGTTGGTGTTTGGACGAGGGCCAGTTTAAAATGAGCCCCTTACACAGAAACCGTGGGCGTGTTGCTGAGTGACCGTCATATGGCACTGGAAGTGTTTTCCAGCAACTATGAGCAAGAATTCTGAAAAAGGCCTTTAACTTCTCAATAGTTTCAACGTCCCTGTGAGCTAAATAATAATAATAATACCACCGTATATTTGCGGAGTGATTTACAATTTACAAAGACACATGATCGCACTTAATCCACTCTCCCACCCTCGTGGGGACCCTATGAGGTAAGAGAATGACCACGTTGAGATAATCGTGGAGATTAAAAGCAGCCTGGAAATTCTGCAATGGGTGATGGATGACTGAGGGTTGACTGGGCCGATTGACCTCCCCCTCGCTGTGGGCTTTTGTGATTAATTCACCCACTTGCTTAGGAAGTTTCTTTCCATCTGAGAAAATTAAAAACACCACTCTCTGGACAGGAATGTGGGATCATAAATGAGAACCAAATAGAAAAGACTTACACAAAAGCACAAGCTCAGCAAAAGAGAAAACAGAAATCGCTAATAAGGTATAAATCAAGGGAAGGCTATTAGCAAACCCCTGTTAAGAAAAAAAAAAGCCTTTTAAATGATTTGCTGAGCTCTTAACAATACCATTTCTACCTATGATTTTCAAATATCTACAGGGTAATTTGGCTGGTATCCTTAAACACTGTCATGAAGAATTTCCAATTTGAAGGGCTTTACTCAAGGAAGAAAGGAGGGAAGGAAGGAAGGATAAAGGTTGACCCACTCATTTTACTGATGAGAAACATAAGGGCCAGAGGGGTTACTAATTTGCCTATATTACCAAAAACAATTGGTGTCAAACTGAGGCTACCAAGCCTCATCAGTCCCAGGCTGGTGTTCCCAATCTAGATTTTCCTCTCTTTCACTTGTTTCTTTTATCAAGAATCCTAAAACATTAACAATATAATCTTCTTCATCACTGAGAACCAATTCTGGAGGCATATAGGCTGATATGTTAGTAGCTGTTTGATACTCAGGGAAATTAAGCACAGAGTGAATTTCCCGTGGCCACTTTGAGTTCATCAAGAATGAGAAAGCACAGAGGCCACTTGGTTGCACACCAACTTCCCACCAACCTCATTCTCTGAGAGTCACAGCATCCTGGCCAGTGATGCTGGCTCTGTCTGGGCTGGCGGGATATTGAAAACAGAGGGATACTCACAGTCCTCTGGACAACCTCACACCCTAAGAAGGAATGCTTTGCCCCAAATGCGCAACCAGCAGTCATCTGCCTCTGCCTGGACACTTTAAAAGACAAGGAGCACACTACTTCTCAGAGTAACCTGCCTCCCTTTTGGGACCCCCACTTGTGAGTATCTAGAGATTTGTAATATTTCACTTCTTGTTGGTGTTGGCCTAAGATATTTTCACACGGGGCTCAGGTCCTCGGCTTCTGTCATCACAGACTCAGAGAGGAAGTTCCTCTGTTAGGTCTTCGTAACTCCCCTGAATTGTGCTTAAGACAGAACCATGAGCAAAAACGATGCCCCCCGAAGGCCCTGTGCTGATGGTGGTGACGGACAGAAAAAGCAGGAACTTGCTGTAATAAGATGCCTCACCCATAGCTCACACAAAGGACAATGCCTATGATGTCAGCTGTGCAGTTCTATCAGTCTTTGTTTTAGGGGCAACGTGATGCCCTTCGAGCCATTTGACAGGAGCCCCACAAAACTACATCTTGCAGAAGCATAACCACATTCTATAACAATGCATCCCTCTTCTGGAGTTTTTAACCCTTTCTAGCAGACGTCCTCCCTCACACGCTGACTGCCCCGTGGCCAGCAGGTCTTCACCAAGGCCAGTCTTTGGGCTGCTAGTCTGCCTCACTTCTTGCTCCCAGTGTTTCCTTTCAGCAAACCCAGGGAGCAGGCTCAGCCTGGGCAATGCCCTGATGACAAGTGTTGGGAAGGCCAAGAAATCTAAAAACAGATTATGGTATTGTAGCAAGTGTGTGGTTTCCTTCATTAGTGAAAATCCTCTTATGTTAGCACCACATTCTAGTTTGGGACGGGCCCTTCGAGGTATAAGAACACATCAGAATCTGTAATCACTCCAAGTCGCATCTATTTCCACCTCACTTGAATGCTCCAATAATGAAACTGTCTTCCTTTTTTTTCTGGGTGAACCAAGTCCAGAGTTTCAGAAAGGCATTAAATAAGGAGGAACAGCATAATTTACTGAAACAGAAAAGTCACTTCATGCAAACCTCTAAGACTCGATAAGGTGATGTGGTATCAGGTGGGAAAACACTACTAATGCCCAAGGTATTAACACACTTCAGATGTGCCCTAGGCCAACCCTGGGGCAAGAAGCACCTCCTACCCATCACCCTCTGGCAGACTCGGGCCCCTCCTTGCCCAGTGGGTTCACCAGGCTCTCAGATGGCTGGGGCGCTGGAGCTGTAGGCTCAGATAAAAGATGCATGCTAGACTTGTAGGATAATTTGCAATTTCTAAGCAAAGATAGCATCCATCCCCACCACTTCTCAGGGAAGAGGTCAATCCTCAAGCCATGTGGCTTTGTAATCTGGTTGCCTATGACTCAGAGTAGCACAGTTCACTCTTGCTACTTGGGAAGGAATTGCTTTCTGGAAGCTTCCATGGGTGCTCTAGCCAGAAAACCATGGAGCTTTTTGCCCAGTTGTTTACAGTATGCATGTCAAGCTGTGCCTGACACGATTGCAGCTGGGAGAATCAGTACTTGCCCAGTTGAAGGGTTCATGATGCAGCCTCCTTTATCGGCAGCCATCTTGCAGCTACAGCCTCTCTCCAGGGTGTCATGGTTCATCCCGAAATTGTGGCCCAGCTCATGTGCCAGGGTCACGGCCGCACCAAGGGGGCTGTCTGAATGGTCCTCAAAGAAAACACAAAAGCACACATGTATAGTTCACATCTCCTTGGCCTATTTGCCAGTCCCCTCTCCTCCCGGACATTTACCTTTCATTAACATTTGACTGAATCCATTCCCCTTTAAGAAACCAACATAGAGCCCCATTATTTAGTTCAAACTTAAAGATTTGACATTTTGTTAAACCAGTTTGGGGTCCCTTCTGCTGAGGAATGCATACCTCATGCATACGTGTAGGATTCTTGTGTCTTTACATGAAATAATCAAGGCAATCATCTCCATCCTACTTCCTACAATCTCTTGGAAAATACCATTGTATCAAATGAAGCAAAAAGTTGTCCTACATCCTGGGAAGAATCATCTCATTCCCTCATGGGTAACAAAATTACCATTTTATCCTGGATCGGATGATACTGATACAAAGTTGGTAAGGAGAAGCTTACTTGTGGCATTCTAAATAAGACCTGAGCAATTGTTACTGAACATGCCCCCTCCCGTCTACCTAGCAGAGAAGGATATTTGGAAAATTCACAATAATTCCCAAGACAAGCTAACCACATTGAATAATCTGTTTGAAGAGTCATCGAACTAAGACTGTAATCCAGTTGTGCCTCACTTTTGTTGGCCCTTTGTGTTGTCAGGTAGACTTTGGACATGGATGGGGGTGTCCTGATTCTCTGATTTTTGCTGCGGGGGTTCACTTGATCTTTTTCTTGGTTTGGGACGTGGTTACTCCATTCAGCAAGCCCTGCTTGGCCACCCTAAATTAGTGGAGCGCATGGATGGCTTGGTTAAATGATATTAGAAATTAACTGAAAAAATACTGTGACTTAACTTTAACAAACTAAAATTAGTTAATTAATTAGTGAATGTGATTTGCAGAGATCGTGACCATGAGTGGTATTTCTAAAGAGGCCTCCACACCACAGAGTAATGAAGGTAACTTATCTGAATCCAGGAAAGAGATAAGAAGTTTTCCAAGAGGGTTCCAGGAAACAGCGATACTGTGTTTTAGAGAAAGCATTATTCCCGATACAAATAACTTGTGGGGCCTCTTGATAACGGTGTGTTCATATCAGACTTTGTTGGTCTGTTGGTGGTTACAGCTGTAGCTGCCTCTCGCACTGGCCCTCAGTTTAAGAAAAGAATGGCATGTCAAGGAACCAGGTTTTTCCTAGAATAGACGAAATTCCTAATAAATTACTTTGTTTAGATTTTACAGTTTCCTGTTGTAGGAAGCTTCACAAATATGTTTCAGGAAATCAATGGTCAAGAAGAACACACGTTGGCAAAGAGAATGTAGTCAGCCTAAGAACGTGGAGGGCTGAATTTAGCGTGCTTTGGCACAAAATTCAAGGAATTCATCCTTAAAAAATTACCCTACATCTGATTCTTTTCTATCACTGAATATCTTCGTTTTGCTTTTAATTGTCAAATTGTTTTTACATTCTTTCACGCAGAGGTGATTATAAACAGAATGTCTCTTAAGAGACCCTGATAAACAGTTTATGCTTGTAATAAGAAAAATCTCTACATCTTTGTTCACGGCATTATCCCCAAACCAAGACTGTTTTAGCCTAGTTAGGTACAAAGGCATGGCTTTAAGTTACTAAATTAATGATTTGCCCTATCTTGAACAAATAGAAAAACAGTAGCAAAACTCATTTTTTCAATCTGATCAGGAATTCTGCTTCCTTACTACATGATTTCCTTCCTCTCAGATTTGTGAGTCCTTGAATGAGGCACAGTCACATGGAACACCCATGAATTTAACTTTAAAGACACAATAGAGTTAGTCTAGAAGTTTCAGATCGGGTCACGATGTTGGTGTTGTTTATCTCATGAATTTTATAGAAATTAAGGAGCTGTGACCTTTCATCCTGCTTGATGCTTCTCTTATATGTGGATTCAACAAGAAATGTCTCTAAGGATCATTCTAACTGCTGCCAAGTCGGTCAAACATAGTTCCTGTTGATTCACTTTGGCCTTGACTTGATTCTTACTGCAGTACATGTTTGCTTCAGTCATTTCCCGCATTCATTTTAATGCATTTTTTAAAAAATCAGGCTTTCCTGTATGCTTTTAAAGAAGGAATCTTGATAAGATGCTTGTATGGAAACAGAATAAGAGATACGAACCAAAGAAAGCCACTTAATATGATCAGATTGGTTATAAGGTTTAAACACCCGCAGTAACAGAAGCTCCCACGCACATGAGGAATTCAGTTTTAGCTCTAAAAAATATTTACGCCAATTTTAAGTGGCAAAGTCAGTAGCAATTGACCATAGAACCATGAAACAGAAATTATTCCTTCTTAAAACTTCACAGGCTGCTCTGCAAAAATACAGTTGGGATCTGACTTGAAATTAACCTGGCACCAACAAAAACCAAAGTTTCCAATGACTTCCATGGTGGAGATCACATACAGGGCTCCCAGGTTCAAAGAAAACCAGAGAGCAGCCTGTTCAAGGCAGATATCCAATGAGTGGATGCCATTCCTCCAAACAGCCTCCCCAGCCTATCAATTTAGTCCATGTTTACATAGATTACCAACACTGCCCAGAGAAGAAGGAAACATTTGCCGTGCATATTCACTAAGATTAGGTTGGGCAGTATGTGGAATGAAAATAATAGTCAGCAGAACATTACTCCTTCCACCCTTTAATACAACAGAATATTCACAACGTTCTGTTTGAAAAACGTGGAGGAATTCACGGTTTCTTGGAAGGGTAAAGTTCTGTTTGTTTAATGAACATGGCGGCATGATCTCCGAGGATTCTCGCTGTCCGAGGGCTGATGCAAAGAGGACGCTGCATTTTCACAGCAGGGACAGCCAGCACAGAATTCAAACCTTTCCTTGAATTACGTGAGGGAGTGGAGCAGGAGTCCCCTGTGGGGCAGCCTATCAAAGCTGCCTCCCTCTTCAGTTCATAAGAAGCAAGTCCAAAATAGTCTTCCCATTTTACTTCCTTTCACAAACATATATAGCCCATATACGACAAAATTATCCTTGTAAAGCAAGAAACCCAGGTCTCTGCCGGAATCCCAACAACAAGGTTATTCTAAAGACAAATTGGACACTGGCTGGGAGGTACGTAAAGCATTTGCAGTGCTAAATACTTAAAAACCTCAGACTTTTGGCTATGGGGCCTGGAGGCAGAACCATCAAAAAACCATTCTACCGGTGACGTTTGTTGAGACCACAGTTTCGTCCAAGCTGAGTGACGCCCTGGCTCATCCCAATGCCGGGAGGAATTCCTGGATTGGAATGCTTTGACCAAAATCCCAGTTGAAACTTTTTCTCCATAAAAGGGGTAGTCTGGCCTCCAGGGAGCTATTTTTACACACTCACCTTTGCTGTGTGCAATTTGATGTGTTTTATAAACAGTCCCTAAAATATTGTGGGATATATAAGCCATCAACAGAGTTAGAAGAAGGGCAGAATTAAATCGAGAAAGCAGCAAAGGAAAGGACTTAATGTCACCAAGTCTGATAAAAGTGGTGATTTCCTGAGAGATCCTCAAGGGCAGAGGGCCCTGGACACCGCTGGCGGCTCCCTGGTGCTCGTGGCTTACCATGACGATTCCTCCGGACTGCTCGGCCGTGCACATGCTCATGATCGGGGCCATGCCGATGGTGGTCCCTTGGAAATAAACCCCACTAGGAAATAAAAGAAAAGACTTTCTTGAACTAATATAGAATGAAGACATTTGTTAATATTTGAAATTCTGTTGGACATTCCTGCATTCTGACAGGAACCGTGAAAGCATATGCAAAAACGAATATAGCAGCATGAGGCTCTGTTTACAGGTGATTTTATCTTTAGTTCCTTTAAAATTTATTTTCCAGTTGCATCACGGTCCCATAATCCTTTCGGATTTTTGTTTTCAAGACCAGTCATGACTTTTAGAAGTTGTATCCTGCCTATCTCCTAATGGACTGAGGCGGAGCTGCTCCTTTTAAACAATGTCTGCTGAGGGAAGAGCCGAAAAGAGTCACAGGGAATTACCGTTAACTCAGTGAAATGCATTAGGTGGCTTACTAGATTTTCTGTTGTAGCTGAATTTGGCTTTCCTGTGTAACACTACAATGAAGTCAGAAACTCAAACTGTTTCAAAATGTCCTGCTAATGTAGCTTGCAAAAGTGAAATTGGCAGAAAAATGATTGCTTCTCTGGAGCCAGTGTAGAATAAGTAAGGCCCCACAAAGCCTCGGCACCCTGGGAGGAAGTTTCTGGAAGGGGACCTCATGGCCCAGCTGCAGGCTTTCTCTTTGTATGGAATCTTGACCAATGAGTCTAATGACATCAAGACCTGTTTAATGCAAGTGCTGTTAATTCTAACCGCATGAGTTAAAAATTAAACATTGTTTGTATTTGTTTGATTTCCTTTAAGGGAAACAAATGACTTACCCGTGTTATCTTGGCCTTGTACATACACAGATTTTGCACACATTGTTTGAAAAGTTAGATATCCTGACAGTGGTCAACTAGACAAAAGGGGGTAAATAAATATAAAACCTCATCTATGTATGTATGTATGTGTCCATCCATCCATCCATCCATCCACTCATCCTATTACACTCATATGTACAGTAGTAGGGATTGTCGCTTTTCTATTTACATCTATATAGACCACTTAACAGATATAATTATACATGTATATAAATAATAAGGGTACATAAGAGGCTAATTTACTTCCAGATGTTCAAGTTGGACAGTCTCCATTTGGGAAAAAATCAAAAAACACTCTCACTCTACTTTTCGTAGTTCAGAGTTAATCAACGCATAAAATATGAGGCAACCACAAATATCCAAGGCAGGGGGAAAAAACCTCGTGAAAATGGCCAAAGTAAATTATCAAGGAATGCCAACTGCCTCAGTTCAGATGTAGGCATTTTCTAAAGCGAGGATAGAGCAGGACTGTTTTTAACTTTCCATAATGTTCAATAAACTGGATCCTATTCACCAAAGTGTCTCCCACTCCAAAGCTTTGGATTCAGTGATATGAGCTACATGAGAACAAAAGAACAACGGCATAAACTGTTTAAAGACTTTAATAAAAAGTTTGTCACTTCAGGAAAAATCTACTCCATATCAACTTAGACTCTGATAAGAATGTATTCTCTTTTAAATATAAAAGTGTCTGTCACATCTTTTGTTGTTCTTGTTAGTGCCGTTGAGTCAATTCCGACTCCTAGAGCCCTTGTGCCCGAGAGAGCGGAACCCTGCCCGGTCTTTTTGCGCCATCCTCTCACCTTCCGGCGCTTTATCAGTCCGTGCCCCGCTGCTGTTCACAGGGTTTTCATATCCAATTTTTTCAGAAGTGGGTAGCCAGGTCCTTCCCTCTCATCTTAGTCTGGAACCTGTCCACCATGTGTGACCCTGCTGGTATCTGAAATCCCGGTGGCATAGCTTTTGGCATCACAGCAACATGCAACTGCCACAGCGTGACAACTGACAGATGGGTGGTGTGGTTCCCTGAATGGGAAATGAACCTGGGCTGTGTCGGTGAGAGTGTCAAATCTTAACCCCTAGACCACCAGGGCTGGCTCTATAATATCTTATCAATATATTACATTACATTATGGCTGTGTTTTCCCTCATTTTATTTAATTTTTTTTGCTGAGGAAGACTTCCCCTGAGCTAACGTCCATTGCCAATCCTCTTCTTTTTTCGCTTGAGGAAGACCAGCCATGAGCTAACATCTATGTCAATCTTCCTCTGTTTTGTACGTGGGATGCCTCCACAGCATGGGTAGCGAGCAGGGTAGGTCTGTACCTGGGATCCGAACCCATGCACCTGGGCTACTGAAGTGGAGCACGGGGAACTTTAACCACTTGGCCATGGGGCCGTTTTATTATTTTTACGACACTGATTGCTCTCTGAAATTTCCTTGTTTATTGCTGTCTTCCCCCATAGACTGGAGACTCCCAAGAGCAGGGTTTACAGTGTTGGTTACCATTATGTTCAAGCCCCTAAAACATATTTGGTTCCTAATTGGTGCTCAATATATATTAACTGAAAGACAAACACAAGGTTAATATGCTATTCTGCTGGTATTCTCTGATCTGGAAAATCAAAGAGTAACAGTAAAACTGAAGGAGGAATGACGACTATCTTTCTCCAGGCAGCTGAGAATAATCACCCTAATGTACTGTCTTCAGATCATGCATAAACATTTTTCACTAATAATGAAAGAAAATGAACTTTAAAAAAAACAGCCTACTCAGGACAACTTTATATCAAGACTAAGACTAGAAAAAGTTGCACAGAGAAAGATGGCCAGGTGACAGAAGAAGGAAATAAGATATCAGCTAGAGAGGTAGGTTTCCAGGGGATCCAAAGGGAGACTTTCTCCACAGACCCCAAATTCTGGCTGGGATGGCCTCTGCCCCAGTGATGTGGGCTGAGAAGCCCCTTGCACAAGTCAGTGTGCTCTGCAGAAGGGGGTGCGGCTTCAGGGACTGTGCAGGTGAAGCTAAGAGGAGAGCGGCTGTGCTGAGGTCATTCTCTCCTAAGCAAAGGAGAGACAGTGGATGTCCTACCTGATAAGCTGTGCGTTGTCATGGGATTTGCGAGGTAGAAGCTTCATCTTTCTCCAGTCCAGAAATTCATGGAGGCTTGTGAATGGGTCCTGACTTATAGAGCATTTGTCGATGTCATTCCACACCTCCACGCCGACCAACACTATTCGAATGTTCAGTGGTCTGTAAAACTGAGGAAGACACGCATCCTTTGGTGATCACATTAAAGAGAACTTAACATGCAGAGCAGAGCAGACTGACATGATATGAAAAAATATCTCCGTGCTCCCTTGCTCCTGTGGCATTAGAATTTAAGAGATATTTGCAGTGTGTGATGCAAAGGGATGTGTTAACTGTGTTCTCAAATGTCGCTGACCAATGAGATAGTTATTAGCCCTTTTGATGTCTGTTCTCTTTTGTATGGAAGCATATATTTCAAATGATTCATTGGTGATTTAAAATGTGCATATAGATGTGTATTATAGCTATCGTAGTTATATTATAGCCAAGGGCTGCCAGTTAATATCTACTGCAAGAAAAACAATGAGTGAATTAGGATCTTTCAGACATTCTGCCAAGGACAATAATTTGTTCATTTTAAGCAAAATGTTCTATCTATTAGTTACTGAAAATAAATCTGTATTAGTTTTTCAGCAAAGACTCAGACTTGGCTGACACTGTCATATTCTGTCACCTATAATCAACCCAGGAGGTTTTAATTAAATGAGCAAATCAATAGCTTTCAGAACGAGAAAAGCACAAACAGAGCCCTTCTTCAGGGACTTGAATGACCATTCTCTTCACAGTCAGGAGTTGGCTCACCATTGCTGTCACGGGAAAGATCTGGGAAAGAAACTTCTTTTACAGGCTTATAAAATAAAGGTTCAGGTACATCACCCAAAGCAAGTCTTCTCATTGCCTTTCTGGTCCCCATCTTTATGTATTCCTGACTTCAGCCTACAGCCCTTTCTCCACAGGCAGATGGTTCTGGGTCAGAGGCACGGAGAGCAGCTCTGGCAATGGCTGAGGGGTAGTTTTGTCCCAGATGAGCTGATTGGGGCAGGATGACTGGTCAGCCTGGGAACTTTAACCACTTGGCCATGGGGCCGTTTTATTGCTGTCTTCCCCCATAGACTGGAGACTCCCAAGAGCAGGGTTTACAGTGTTGGTTACCATTATGTTCAAACCCCTAAAACATATTTGGTTCCTAATTGGTGCTCAATATATATTAACTGAAAGCTCAATATATATATAACTGGTCATCGCAGAGGTAAGAACTACCCTTCGCCCCCAGCTACTGTGCTGCCCCATGTGCACCACGTAGACAGGCAGGTGGCTGTGCGCTCAGGGCCCGGCGGGCGAGGACATGGGATCACCTGTCTGGCTGTAAAATCTTTCAACGCCTGTGACGTGTGAGGCGGTACACAATGAGAAAGTCGTCATCTTCTGATACTTCAGGTAGCCAGGGAGAAGGACGTGGCTGGTGATAGCAGCCAAAGTCCAGCTCCACATATGAGCAGGTCCTATTCTTAGTTGCTAGAAGCATCTGGACCAATAAGTAACAAAAAATCACAGAAGCTCTGCATTTGATCGTTGAGCCCCATTCCAATGTGGTGAGCTCAAGAGTAATAAACTCCCCGCGGCTGAGATCTGACCTCGGGGGCTGACCCACGCAAGGCAGGCTCATCTTTTCCCTTGCTGATCTCCCCACAGGCATCTGGTGAGCATTAGGTTAGCAGAACACCACTGGAGCACGAACTACATCCCAGAATATAAACTGGATGCAGCAGTCCAACTTCGTTTCAAGCAGATAACAATTACGGGCATTACATTAATAAGTTAATGAGACAATTATACAACCCAAATGCTGCCCAACAGCTTGTTTTTAATCAAGAATCGCTTGGCCTGTGGTATCCACTTGCAAGCTCTCAGCTGAGGCTTCCCAGGCAAAATTGAGTTGCTGGACTCCTCTGGAACTCTGACTGCACACGTCTGGCTGCTGTCCTTGGACGGAGAGACTGCACTTTCAGCTGTGTTATACACAAAGGTAACAGTGATCGGAAGCAGGAATGGAGGAGGTCCAGTGCTGATGTCTACACCAGCTTGCTAAGCGACATCCTCAAGGTCAGATGCCTTGTGTGGGCTGCAAGGTTGTCATCTGTGAAGGCGACACTATGTTTGCCTCTGACGACAGCTTTATGGAAGTAGTAACTAATGTCTGGAAAGAACCAATTGTCATTGTTTCTCAGAGCTAGCTCAGTGCTTACTAATCAAGGAGCTTTGAATTATAACAGTGGGTTACAATTTCCATGTATTAGCCCTCTCAAATCACATCCTTAGAGCAGATTTCATTCATTAAAGTATATAACATACACTCCCTCCCCTCCAAAAGCAGTGCTACTGACCGACTCTCAGACATGCTAGACTCCCTTCAAGTCATCACACAATCCCTCTGCTGCCTGCTCCAAATGTCCTCCCCAGGGTTCTTCCCGGTGGCTTCCTTTTGGTTCTTCCTAATAATAACCACAGCTAATGCTTAATGAGCATTGACTCCTTCCCGGGCACAGCGTGAAGTGCTTTCCAGGCTGTAGCTCTCTTGGCCCTCATGACAACTCTATGAGTTAAGAACCATTATTATTCCCATTTTACAGTCAAGGACATTGAGGTATGGAGGGATCGGGTAACCACTCAAGGCATGAGTGACATGGCTCGGGGTGGAATGCAGGCAGGCTGGCCCTGGTGCCCAGGTTTTAAACCACTAAGTAACACAGCCGCCCTGTGTGAGTGCTCAGACACCCTTTCAAGATGACCCACGGTGACCCCAGACCCAGAGAGAAGGTCAGTTGGAGCCTGGCAGCTTCCTGCTTGGCCTATGAATCCCAGAAGGTATGTGGACACAGCCCGAGACCGGCTGAATCAATTCACCCATTAACATAGCAACAACAAATATTTGCTTGGCTCTTGCTGTCTGCTAGGCTTGGCACTGGCACAAGAACAAGGATTAGGATGCCCTTGCCCTTGTCTCTCAACTGCTCAGAGGTCAGCAGGAGGCTCAAGGCACGGGACTCTTAACCACTATTACAGTTAATCCCAATAGAGAGAACTGCCAGGAAAAGGGTGCAAACAGGAAGTTCAGTGGTTGCTGTGCTAAAGAGGTCAAGAAAGGCTTTCTGGAAGAAGCGGACCTGAAAAAAAAATTGGGTAGAATTAAAGGGCAGTCCCCTGGGGTCCAGCATGGGAACTTGCAACCTTCAGCAACTGGGAGAGGAGACAACTCACACAAGAGGGAACTTGCCTGAAGAAACGAAATGCATGGAAGATGCATTCAGAAGTAGGTCACAGAGGTTCAGCCTTAAAAAATCTGCAGCTGGTTTGTTTTTTTTTTTTTTTTTGAGGAAGATGAGCCCTGAACTAACATTTGCTACCAATCCTCCTGTTTTTGCTAAGGAGGACTGGCCCTGAGCTAACATCCATGCCCATCTTCGTCTATTTTATATGTGGGATGCCTGCCACAGCATGGCTTGCCACACAGTGCCATGTCCGCACCTGGGACCCGAACTGGCGAACCCTGGGCCACTGAAGCAGAACGTGTGCACTTAACCGCTGCACCACTGGGCTGGCCCCTGGTGCTAACTTCTTAATGAGTATGAAGTGGGACAGACTGGAGGTGAAAGGTTAAAGAGGCAAAGCTTGGGCAATCATTTCCTCGGGCAGGCACATGCCCGCTCCCACCCTGCCATTTAATCAGGGCCTGGGGAAGGGTCTTTTAGTTCCTATGTAAAGGGTTTGCCTACAAGCATGAGCATCAGACATTTTTCACCTACAGGGGGAATTTCCTGAACTTTTCAGAATGTCACCTTTGTCACTATATCACTTCTCAATCTGTCAGTGTGGGATGTCCTTCTCTCTCTTCCCTTCCAGCCAATGCAGCCAGCCAAGCAGTTATTCATTTAGAACGGCCAAGAAGAGCCAAGATTTCTGCAAATGAGGAAGTTGCCACTGGAACAATCATTGTTCTTTGGGCCGAGACACTCCTACTTATCGAGTTGCAAAATTGAAGCTTGGAGCACTTGCTAGAGCCAGGACTCATCGGTTAGTTAGCAGACTTGGATCTAGAGAGCATCTGCAGGAGCCTGGGTACCCCCATCCAGGTCTTCAGGGTCTGCTGGGGACAGACGCACATGTGTGCTTGGCAACAGCTCTCTCCCGGCCAGAAACCCATGAGCAGCCAGGCTGGCAAACTCCATCGGGTCTGTCAGGGCTTTTCTGAGGTGTAATGTTCTTTAATTTCCAGTGCAAGTTATTAACAAATCCCCAATTTGTTATTGGTTTTGGAAACTGAAGCAAGGCATCAGATAGAATAAAATGCAAAGAAACACAAATGGAGGACCAAACACATCACTTAAAAAGGAGATTTCAGCGATTACCAGTCTGTGTTTAATATCGCCCATGGTTTCCTTTTACTTCCAAGGCCTGAGAAGAACTTGTGCTCCGTGCCTCTCGGTCTGCCTCACGCCAGCCTCCCTGGCAGAGTGTGGAAGGTATCCATGCCCAAGGCCCCACCCACCAATCAAACCAGGGTCCTGCACTGAGACTTAGGAATCAGCGTTTTAAAAAGTAAACACATAGACAAATGAACAAACCTCACTAGGGGATTCTAACGCCCAGCCCCGACTGAGAACCAGGTCTAACTCCTAGTGGTTTCCGGCAGAAGGTCCAGGATCCAGCCTTCACCCTCCCTGCCAGAAGGACTCGCCATTTACAAAAATCCTCCTACGTCCACTTGACTTTGGCATAAAGTTTAATTTTCAAAAAGTGGTTACTAAAATACATCAGCAAGCATGGGCTGCCTGGGAGTCTGACTTGCCTCAAAGGGCTGGCGGATGAGGACGGTATCACCCCAGGATACTGATGGCTGTCCGTGTTTTTCTGGCTTTCAGAGAGTTCCATCCAGCCATAGCCTTGCTCTGAGTGCCAAGCCCAGATCTCTGACCACTTGGAGCACCCCATGAAACTCCTGCTCCCGCTTCCCTAGGGGTATGAAGCCTACCACTGTGCTGCAATGAAAGCTGTGGTCATTGGGACCCCACTCTTCTCAGCCTCTGCTTCTGCTTGGTTATGGTGGGCTGGGACCCAAAGCAAGTGGGTAGAGTCAAGGCCAAAAGCCCCTGTGGGGACCAGTCACAGGGACCAGGGCTCATTCCTGGTCCTGCCTTTAGTGCTACTTGAACACATGCATTACTTAACTAGCCTCTGTTAACCTCAGCTTCCTCTGCTTTAAAAGTGGGAGTAATAGGATGTATCTGGGCGCATCTGCAAAGCACTTAGAGACTGGCACGCAGTAACTGCTCAATAAACTAGTAACCACATCCCTTCCAACATCTCTAATCCTTGACCCTCTCACACCCTCACTTCCCCGGCCCTGGGGCAGGTCTTTATAATTTGTGTGGCAACAGACCCCTCCCAGCCCTATTTGTCTTTGGTGACTCCATCCTCCTCACTGACTGCAGGGGTAGCTTTGTATCATCCCATGTCTCTCCCCCGCTTAAAAACACCCACCTGGTCTCCACTGATGCAGAATAAAATTGACATGACTTTGTGGGGCATTCAGGGCCCTGGCCACTGAATGCCCTGCATCTTCATCTCCTCCTGCTCTAGCTGTGCACGCACACACACGTCTGCACGCTTACCCATCTAGGCACATGTGCACACCCGCCCTTGGTTGCATGGAATTACTTGCTGTGTCTAGTGCCGTGAAGAGCAGCCAGGCCCCCCTCTGCTGTGCTCCTGGTGAAATCGTCCTTTTCAAGTCCCCTCCCTGCAAAGACTCCCTGAGCCCCAGGAAGAAGGAAGCGGTCCTCTTCTGCATCCCACAGCACTCGAGTGATAGCATCACCCTAGTTCCTATCACGTTTGGACCATGCTAAGTGGTTTGTGAGTCTGCCTCTGTGTGAAGCTGCGACCTCCTTGAGCGGAGGGACCACATCTGATGCATTCTGAATTTTTGTTTTGTGAGGAAGATTGTTGCTGAGCAAACATCTGTGTTAACCTTCCTCCATTTCGTATGTGGGATGCTGCCATAGCATGGCTTGATGAGCTGTGTGCAGATCTGTGTCCAGGATCCAAACTGGCAAACCCTGGGCCACCAAAGCACAGCATACAAACTTAACCCTATTCTGAATTCTTGATGCACAGTGCTTGGCACTGTCCATAATGCCTTGTAGAACGGAACTGAATTTCTGGAAGGGCTTGTGCTTTCACTTTTCTGAAAACTTTGAAAACTCACCTCAAATAGAATAAGGTTGTTTGGAAACATGGGTATGGTGAGGCATCCTCAACCTGCTATGTGTAAAATGTGACCATTGCAGAGGATCCCGGCTGTGAAAGATTCAGCAACGAGCTGGTCCCTTTTCCCTCTCGCCCATTCTCACAGGTGGGAGATGGGCTACTGCTGAGAAGTACGCTTGCGTTACAACAGTGGTTGTCAGCCGTGCCGCCCATGAGAACCACTTAGCCAGTATCCAGAGATCCTGCTGTCCAGGCCCCAGCCAGAACCCAGGCAGCGATGCCTTTGAAAGCTTCCAGGCTAGTCTGAGAAGCTCTGTTTCAGGGTGAGAGCCATCGGCACCAATGGCTCGATGCTCTCCCCCGCAGGGCGTGTTGCTGAAGGGCTGGTAGCATAGACCGTTTCACCATCTCCTCGTGAACAGGTAGTATAGGGAGCGTTGGTGAGCACACACTCCCAGAATTAGACAGACTTCCAGGGTCTCTTCCAGCTCTGAAACCACCTTTGTCAAGGGCGAACTCCCCACCTCCTAGCTCTCAGTGAGGGATTTTCCAAGAGCTGATTGAGCTGAAAGTCAGTTTCTGTGTCCCAGGACTGTGGAGGCCTTATAAGGGACATATAAATGAGAACCTGTCCTCAGGGGACCTGTGAGATCCACCCAGGGAGAGCTGGGAAGAGGCCCTCCTGGGAGTTCTCATAAGGGTTGGATACATCCTATAGGGGTTTGGATCTAAATGGGGAGTCCAAGATCCCCTCAGACTGGACCCTTGCCTGGTCAGAAGAGATCCTGGAGGGAGAAGCATCGAGGCCACCGCAGTCCGCACAGAGTGGGGTTGGCATCTCCCGCAGCTGCTCCAGGCCTGGGAATACCGTGCTCAGAGGAAGCGCAAGACCGCATTTCAGCCGAGGACCCGAGGCCGAACTGGGTCTGCAGGCTAACTAAGTCAGATGAGGTGTGCTTCATTCCCTCCCCCCATTTCCAAACATTTACGTGATTTGAGTGATTTAATTACCTGCAAAAGAACTTACCTTGTCAACGTGATTAGCGATCTCTATTAATCGCTGCTTAACTTTTTCCAGATCTTTTCCTTGCCTCTGAAACTTAATAATTTTAAATGTCAGCATTAATAACAGCAAGAATATCAATCAAATCTCATCTTCCCAGCTCCTGGAAATGTGAAGTCTGGGGCTTTATAAACCACTCGGGACCCTCCCTGGTTTACGTGAAGCGAGTTCCCCTCCTGTCCAGTCATTTCCCCGTCTAGGGACGTTCTGAAACTCCCTGAAATTCACCCAAGCCAAGCGCTCACAAGACAGTAACTTCTGTGAGTTTTCCAGCCTCATAAATGATGGAGGCAGTGACATGTTTTGGCAAAGAGAAAACAGACAACCAGAAGGCAGTCCAAAGCCATTTTTCATATCATCAACTAGATTTTAACTTCCTCAGAAATTTCTTATTTGTTTTTAAAAATTAAATAGCAAAAGTAAAAGAAGCCCATGGCAACAAGTCAAACAACACAGAGGAGAATGGATTAAAAAGTTAATAAATTCCCCCTTCTGCCCTCTAATCTGACCTCCAGAATGGGAACTGTTTTCTGAGAAATGGTCAAGCCTGTTTCATTCATATGTGCGGAGTGAATCTACCAGAAAATGTCACCTAATTCATAACATGTAGTAGAGGCAAGGAAGGAATACAGAGAAGATCATCTAAAGAAAGCTAAATAAAAATGAATTAAAAGAAAAACCTAACACAGCCTCAAGCCACACGTCAGAAGGTAGGTTTTTTCTGCAGTGTCTCTACAGCCTTCATTCACTCACTCATTTGGTTCAGGACATATTGGACAGTTTTAAACTAAGTTCCCCCCAAATGTTTTAGAATACAATCAAAAGCCATCTGCCATTTCTCCCAAACAATCCTCCCTCTTGGAGAGCTTAGCTACAGAGCAACTCTGTTTTTTCTGCAGTTCTTGCAATTATTTTGTAATAGCAGATACATTTTTAATATTTATACTTTATAATATCAGAAGATCACTTTTTAAATGGGTTGTTTACAATGCTTTTAAGGGCTTATAGAAAATGAGGTCAATTAAAGCACGTAATAATTTGCTAAAAATTTTCTTTGCCCTGTTTCCTTCTTTTTAACCAACTGTACCGAGAAATTTCAAACAGTTCTCACCTCCCGGTTGTCTGCTACAATAACCAGCTCGACGTACTTGGTCATCTTGAGGGTCTCTCTTTTATGCTGTCAAAAGGAAACACGGATTTAATTTCGCTTACTGTCTTTCTGGGGCTTCCAGAACACTGTCAATCTCTCTCGACCCAAACATTTTAACTAAGGCGAGCCTCTGTCCTCACCGTCCCCCCAGCTCCCACCCCTCCGTTCCATCCATAAGTTTACCTCCAACCCCAACAACCTCTGTAAAACTTTCTCAAGGTGAGGGACCAGTTTCCATTTCCATCTGGGAAACCCTTGAAAAGGAATCTGATCTTTCTGCTGAATCATTGACTGTAGGATCAGAACAAGTTAAAGCCACTATTAAACAAAACTTAAATAGAACTCAGCATCAAGGAGCAAATCCAAGGCTCTGTCTGGAATGGGAGCCAGGCAGTGGCCGCTCGTTTCGGGCGGTATCCAGTACGTTTGAAGATCACTACAGAGGATGATGGCGTTCAGGGTCTCATGGGCGTTCCCTTCACCGTTATGGTCCAGTTTTGTGATTTGAGAAAACGGAGAAGAACCTATTTTGAGCAGGAACTGCATAACATTTCTGGGAAAACAGTGAGCAGTCCATTCCAGGGAGCTTATATCTTGCAGATGATCATTTAAAAAGCTGGTCAGAAGCAATGGAAGACGGGTGGTCTGGAGAACAGGGAACAGCCAGGCTGATATTACAGGGAACAGAGCCAGGCAAGAAGGAGGTGCTAGGAGGAAAACCAGAAAGGAACAAAAGAAAGAGAACAGAAAGAAACAATGTCAAGAAAAAAAAGACTAAAATAGGCCACGGGCAAAAAGGGATTTTGTAAGAGGGAAATAGTTAAGAAGAACATGGAAATTATATATAAAGGGGTGGGGCCGGGAGAAGGGTCAGGCCCCAGAAGCATGAACTCCCTGTCGCATAAAGGCAGCCTCTGAAGTGGGTTACGTTTTAATCAAGTTTCCTCAGGAAACATTTGCACTCTTTCTTGAATTACTGGGAGAATCCCAAAGGCATTTTTAGGAGAATGAGAGCAATTCATGGAGGGTGGTCTCTAAACGCAAACATTAAAAACAGAACAACAAAGCCTCCTGTTTCTGCAATCAAATGTCGGCGGAGGGAACAGGGTCGAGCGGGTCTCGGTCCTCTGACGGAGCCTGCTGGTTTATGAGTCAGCTACACACACTGCTTAACGCGTAAACCTTGCCGGCCGTAACCAGGCTTCCAGACAAAAGCAAAAATGACCAAGGCGTGCTTTGATTGCAGTCACATAATCCTGAGGGAAACATCTTTTATAAAACAAATCCCCATCAGTCCGGGATCTTCCAAACAGATTTTTACAAGAAAAATGTTTGTATCATAGCAGTGTTCCTCCTGCCGCCCAGCTGTGCAGATGATTCATGAATTTAGGTATCCCTAAAGAAATCTGGAAACCTTACGGAGGAAGGGAAAACAAAGCACCGTGAAAGGTATCATTTCTCCTACTTTTACAACATTACAAGAGAAGAAAGTCAAGCTTTGTAACTATATGTTGTAGGCGTGCTTTATGGTGATAACTAAGTCCTTATAAAGGAAAACAGATTGGCCCCAGTGGTACCCACTGGTATACACAAAATGAGACACCTTCTGGAAGTGTGAAGATCTTGCCCCTTTTCCCGACTGAGGTGTGAAACAAGCAGAAGTCTCTTTTTTTTCCCCACAGTGCCCTGATTAACCATTAACAGATTCAGGTAATCGTACAGAAGAAAATAGAGCTCTGTAAATGAAAAAATAAATTAATCTCCCATTGAAAAATTCAGAAGGGGCCCTGGTTGTTTAGACGTTTACACCTTCCAGACTGCAAAAGGATGAAATAAACAACCAGGGGATATTACCAAGTGGTCTTGGTTCATCATTTAGAAAATACACAGTTTCAGATAATGAAAACAAACACATGATCACGATTTTCCTGTCTCTGCAGTTTTCAGAGAAGGCCCAATTTTCTCGTGAATTCAGAGAACTGCAAGCTCAGAGAGAAACCAAACCACATAGTAATAAAAAGCCATGGGGGAGTGGCCTGCTCATGGCTGCGAAAGTTCACTCTCCCATGCGCTGCACCCACAGAGGGCCTTAAATTACCTCCACATGAGTTCCACCGAGCTGGGCTGTCCAGTTTAAAAAAAAAAAAATCCTGTTTAAAATTTTTGATATGCAGAGCAACATTTGAAACTGGTTGCTTGAGTGAACTTTCATTTTTGGGGTTATAAACAAAAGCCCTTCCCCAAATGGATAGAAACGTAAGCCTCTGAGAACGGTCCCGCGGGCTCTGCTGCAAGGTGGAGACTGAGGCGTTCTTGGAGCCTTGCTCAGGAGGGAACCAGATCCTGGGCCTCTTGAAGTCATCACAGACAAGTCCCCAGAGGCAGATTATCCCTCAAACACGCTGCCACTAGAACTCTGGCACCGGGAATTCAACTCAAGTTAGAAAAGCAAGTTGAGATTAGGGTCACAAGAATCCTCGTTATAACTCTTTCTTGATGGGAGCCATTCACATGTGTATCATTCATTCATCCCACATATATCTGCTGGGAGCTCTCCATATGCTCGGCACTTATTGGGTGTTGGGGATAAAGCAATGGACAAGAAACCCAAGATATGCCTTCACGAAGCTCACACTCTAGAAGGGAGGTGGGAAAAGAGGTGACAATAAAGAGTTAACAAAAATAAAGCACAGTCTGTGAAAACTGCAATAAAGGAAAGAAGCAGGGTTCTGCAATGACGGAAACAAGGGGGGAGGGGGACTAAGCTGGCTGAGACCTGAGGATGAGAAGCAGGTATGCGCAGAAAGTGTGGCAGGAATGGTGTTTCAAGTAGACGGAACAGCAACAGCAGAAGTCCTGAGTGTGTGGAGGACTTGGAGTGTCATAGCAACAGGCAGAATGGCCATAGTGTAGTGAGTCAGGAGTCAGTAGAGTGTGGATGAGATAAGGCTGAAGATGTGGGCAGGGGGCAGGGCCGTGGCAAGCAGGTTGAATGGCAGTCTAATAGTCTAAGAGTGATGGGGAGCCCTTGAATGTGATGTTTTTCAATATCACTCTGGCTGCTGGAGGAGAATGGGTTATAGGGAGGCAAGAGAGGAAGCCCAGAGTGCAGGTGAGAGCCAGACGAGTTTGGGGCAGTAAGGATGGAGACTGGTAAACAGTTTGATTCAGGTGTGACACAACCAAACAACAAAGAACCACCACCGCGGAACCAGGGCCAGTGTTTCCACAGGCAGCAAGACCAGCAAACTAAACGAGTCCAAAGTTTGGTTTATCTGCCTCTGAGTAAGGAAGGATCTCTGTTGGCTCCAGCGAGCCTCCAGGTCTTGACTCTAAGGCCACTTTATGAATATTTATAAGCTGAGCCCTGGTTTTTCCACCATCCTTACCCATGACTTGTGTGGGGCCGAAGCACATTCCCCTTGTATCTGCGTGGGCTGCGGCCTCTGGGGCCTGGCTAATATGCAGGCTGCAGGACTAACAAGCAAAAGAGACAATAAGCTGGGAGAATGGGCTGAATCTGATGAACTGAATGTTAATGGGGACAAATGTGCAGTACTGGAATTGAGTCCAAAACACCAATGGCACAAGTGAGATCTGTTATTTATTTATCCAGAGTTTTAATCAATTCAAGTCTCCACAGGAATCCACACCTGGAGATGTGGGAGCCTCAGCTCACACTGACAGACGCTCAGAGCCCAGGGCCAAGGAAGCAACAGTGGTGCTGGCTGTCATCCACCACCAAGCTTTAAGAACCATTAAGGCAGTAAGGGAACTTCCTCTGGTCTCTTAGAGGAGCTACGGAAGTGAGGATGCTTACGTTAGAGAGAAATTAACTAAGCCTGCTATAACTAATGAGTCTTCAAACAGTTGTGGCCAGTTCCTGATATTGAACTATTATTTGGCTCTACATATAACATATATTATCATTATTACTACCACCACCACTACTAGGGCTTCTATTAAAGAAATATGACAGGTTGTCTAGAAACCCAAAAGCAATGGCACTGGTCCAGCTCAAGATGGCTGCATTTGAGGAAACACAGTAGTGTCTCCATGATGGGCTGTCCTTCTTGTACTCAGTAGGCCAAGCAAACCCTGCTTTCTAGAGAAGGCGTCAACTTTTACATTTAACTCATAATTATCCATACTAACGGAGGGGAACAGGAGCACAGGTGATCCCCAAAGAGAGGATAATTCAAACATAATTCACCTTTGCCTTTGGGATGTATTACGTGATTTTTCCCAGCAGTGGATGTACCCTGCCGTGGCCTTCCCTACAGCTTGCTCAAGGCCAATGTTACGATGAGCTGGCGCTTTGAATGCGTAGCTGATGGAGAGGAAAGGAGCATGTCCCAGCAGAGCTGAGTGGCAAGGACTCTTCAGGCTGGACTCACAAACCTGCAGAGGAGAGCCCTGAATGGGATGCTCTCCGTCTGCGGGCTCCCTTCCAGAAGCAACTTGGGTTCTCACTAAAATCTAATGTAGAGCCTTGTAAAAATGACAAACAATAGCTCAAGCTTATATTATAGCCAGTGCACAGCCTGAGTGCAGATTTATTCCTGCTGCTCTGGGAAGAAAAACGCTAACAGCTGCAGAAAAATCTCAGCCTGTGCACCAATCTTTGCAACAGTTAACATTTAGTAGGGGCCCAAAAATGCCGGGAGAAAGCAAACCCAGTTGCTGTGCTGCATTAACAAGATGAGTTAGCTGAGGTTACCTTGGTTTTCGAGTGTAAAATAAAGGCAGAGTAAGTGATGCGGGTAAGCGGCATAGAAGTCGAATGTGACCCTTTCATATTTACCAAAGGTGCTGCCCCAGACTAGCTTGCATATAATTTCAATGTTAATGGGGACAAATGTGCAGTATTTGCAAGTAATTTTTTGTATCGCTTTCACCATATAGATGTGCTTTAAGTCAAGGACGTTGCCGTAAAAACAATCCACAACTATTTCTAGTGAGAAATATTGATAACAGAGTTGAACTGAGTTGGAGGCCTTCCCTTTTCAATGAAAAGGTTCATTTACCCTTCAATATGCATTATTAACAAAACAACATTGTTACTCAGGTTTGCCCCATCTCTCTCCAAGTCAAAAGGACTGGAAATTACTGTGCCAATCATAGTTCTAGAGAGCTGTAAGCCTAGTTAAAGAATTAAAATAGGGCTGGGAAGTACAGAGCACGCTCGTACTTCTAAATGCAATGGCAAACATATCTGAGCGTCATTTAAACTGTCAGGTTATAAATCTCCTAACATGGGTGATGCGTATTCAACAAGGTACTCAAGGCAAAGCGCCTGGAAAACAAAATGCAAATGTTCCCCTTGTTTATGACGGGAAGGGCGACAGCTCAATCCCAGCTCATCCGGGGTCTGGAATCAAAGGAAGAGAGTTTGAAGAGTAAAATAAACACGCCCCGGGACCACAGAGGCTGGTCTTTGCTATTCTAGCTCTTAGACCTGTCCCTCTAAGATGGGGGATGGGGAGAGAAAGGCACAGTGATAACTCGCTTGAGCTGTTGGGTGGGTGGTGGGGTGGGGGGAGTGCTCTTCCAGCTCTGCTCCCTGGGGTTCAGACTCAGTCTCCTCCAGTGAGCGTCAATGTCAAAGTGAGCCACAGTTTCTGATGGGGTGTTATTCCCCTCCGGCGTGATGCGGAACAGAAAGAAAAACAGGTTCTGAGCACCTGCCATTGAACATCTTGGGAACATGTCAACAAACAGAGGAAGTTAGGGTCATACAGGTAGGACTCCAGGATGGAAAGAATGAACGTAAAAATTACAATGAAAAGTCCCGAAATGGTTCCGTTAAGAGCAGGTGAGGGGACCACAACCTATCCACAGGTATGGGGGAAATTTTAGGAATGGGAAGAAATTGTTTAGGATACCGTTTACTATTTAAATTTAGAAAAATGATTAGGAATGAACAAAGAGGAATAGTATTTATAAAATGTTGAATGTTAAGCAGCGTAACACTTAAAGTCAGGAAAGACAACGTGTGTCAAGTGGAACTTTGATCGTGTCCCTAGACTATCAAATGAAAGCACAAGTGATGCCATATCTATGAATTCTTGATTTCTTCTTAATAGAGGAAGAGGAAAGCCAGAGATGAAGAATCAGGAAATTACTGGTAAGTTCCTATCTGGTTGTAGGTGTTTAAATTCAGGGCCTCCAGCCAAATGTGGGGAACGGCTGCCCTCACTCCTTTTTAGGAGGGTTCTGCTGTGGCCTATGGAACCCACATAACACTGGGTGTAAAAGGGTCAGCCAGACATTTGGGGCAGAGGTTTCACAGTGTTGCACCCTGGGGTGTCAGGGCCCCGTGTTTCTGTCCACCTGGCGGGGAGGGAGAGCTGTAGCCCAGACTCTATGAGGCAACTAGTCTTCCCAGTTCTGGAGTAGAAGAGAAGACCTTTGATGAGCAGACCCAGGGGCAGGCAGTGAGAAAACACAGACCACTTGGACAGTCACAGGCGGTAAGCAGGACAGCATCTGCAGCACGGACTGGGGAAGCAACACCCCTTAGCAACACACTGTGTGGAGAGACTCAGTTCACCTCTGCACAGGCAGGCAGGCAAAGGCTGGGGACAGTCTGCAAATCGTGATGAAGACCCTAATTGTAAAGCAGACTTGTGAATGAAGAAACTCCATTATTGTCTTTCTCCTCCCGAACAAGGAGAGCTGCCTGAGAGTGGGGGAGGGTCCATTCTTGTCTTGTTTACCATGGTAGGGCGTAGCCCTGGGCCTTGGCCCACAGTAGGTTCTCACCGAAGACATTATCAATGGTGAGCTTGTCGACCTTTGAGCCCGACTTCACTCGGCACAGTTTGATGGTGAGGCCAACACTTGTAAGATAATGATGGAGAGTCCCATATTTGATTATGCTCTGCCCACATGATATCAACCACTCCAGATAAACTGGGTGATTCCACCCCCCAGATACAACATCCAGATGGTGGAATTTCTCCAGATGTCCTAGCACTGGGTGTCCCTAGCTGGAGCGCCCAGCTCTCCGAAAACACAACATTGGGTTTCCCTCCTACCCTTCTTGCCCGCCTCTGGGAGGGTGGTGGGAGCCTGTTATCCGCAGCGAGCCCCGACGTGTTGTGATGTGATCCACACGACCCCCAGACGCCCTTCAGGGTCTCCGCTGGGAAGAGCTGGTATCTATTGGTTGCATTTTTCATTGGTTCTAAGATGTAGGTTTTATTTTCAAATGTAATAAGTCCCCTGTTGAAAGAAATAAGAAAAAATATATAATTTTTAAGGGCAGCTTCTTCTGTATGGTTGAGACCCAGTTCTTAAGGAGAGAGAGAATGAAGAGAGAAATACCAATTTATTTACATTCTCAAATTTTAATTGGAAAGGGCCTTTCTGTGCCATATGTTTGCACTGATTCATTTTGCAAATCTTTTAACAAGTCTGAGAAATCTCTTGTTTCAGAATTTCATGGTAAAGAATAGACTGCATTTAGTCTTTATTTTTTAAACTTCTCAAAGATATATTGCTGGGAAGAAGAGTTGAGAAAAAAGCTGTTTCACCTGCTTAGAACATAACTATATCTGAATTAGCAGACACCATTCAGACGGGAAATCCTACATCTGAATGATTCATCCTGATCAACTATATTTCCTAAATATTTGAAAGGATTCTGATGTAAGGTTGCGTATAAACTTATGTGCTTTTTCTTTTTTTGTATTTACTTATTTAATTTGTGGGAGATATGTGACTAAAGGAACCAATGTAAGTGCACAGAGCATTAGAACTTCTGCTTGAAGGCAGAGGTCTGTGGGGAGCCTGACTTGGCTAAAGGTGGACGCTCTTTATAGGGGTGAAGAACACAATTGAGAGACGTCAGAGAAGGTGGCCTTTGGAGTCCGGCCATCTGGTTCAAGTTCCAGCCCTGCCACTTACTAGCTGTGTGACCTTGGCCTCTTTGAACTTTGCTTTCATCGCTTGGGCAATGAGATAATAATAATTACTTCTCAGGGCTGCTGTGTCAACTCGTTGATACTTTTAGCCCCGCAGAGGTCACCAGTCAGGGCTTGAATGGCAATGGCTTTGTTATTGACAAGGGTAGATCCATGGACCAGGTTTCTGTTAATGTGGTTATTCTAAAGACTGACAACTTCAGGAAGGTTCTATGCTTTGTTAACACATCTGCCCACATACTGGCCACTCATGGCTCCCCGATGTGAAATACAGCATCATTAAGATAAATATACTTCTGGAAATGACAATAACTAAACAAGAACCTTTTGTGCTAAGATTTAGGTCTGGGAATAAAAGTATAAGTTCTTTTAAAAATTGGACACATTTGCTAAACATTCTAACTTGCAGAGACAGAAGGTGGCATTAGGCCATGGACCACAATGCATGTCTGACCTTCTGGAACAGGACAGAGCTGAAGCTGGGTCTTGCCTCCTGGAAATGAGTAATGTCAGTATTTTAATTTAAAAGGCTCTTCCTGATGTTGAAAGAAGGATTTGCTTTAGAGAAATGGCAAGTTGGGTAATATTAAACTGGCAGCTCAAAGACTTCCCACACATCTAGCAACTTCCATTATTTAGCAAAGCGATCACAATCTCTCCACCATAGAAATGCATAAAATTTCCATGCAAAACTCATCTGATTGTAAACAGACACTTCTAACACGGTGACTCTGAGCCTTTTTTGAGACATGAACATCCTTATACTCTCCCCAAAATGATTTGCATTCACATATATCCACAATATTTTGCAGACAATTTCAGGACATTCAGGACTATAGATGAAATCCATGGTTTAGGGCGGTAGTTGTAACACATGATTTATACTTCATCAACCCAAGGATTTGAGTATACTTTAATCCTTAAGAAATAGCTGAAAAAGTTGGGTGCTCCATCAGTTTCCTTCAGACAATTTGAGCTTGCTTCCAAAGGAGGGACCTTGTAAGGTGCTCTGAGGCCATTCATTATTGGTCATTATTTGTCCAGTCATTCACTCATCCTATGCTTATTGATGGTCCATTTATAGGTGACTACTTAGACATTCTTAAATTTTAAAAGAATGACAGTATTTCAATACTCAAACAGTATGGAAAGATGAGGTCTGAACTAGTCAAATATTTATTTTGAACACAACCAGTGAACAAATACACACTAATCAATTCATTATTATTCAGCTGGTTTACTCCAACCGTCCCGCTTTAGGAAGCATTATAGATGGTGGGGGAAACGGACATCATGCCCGGGACACTTACAGCCTGATGGAGAAGATAGACCAAGACACATGGGACGATCTGAAACCACTGGAGAGCTAAGCTGTGTGTTACCAACACTCATAACATTTACCTGTTCAGAAATAGGAGGAGCCAATGTGATTTGGAGTAACTGAAGAATTTTTGGCTATTTTTAAATCCCACAGATTGATTAAAAATCATCATATATAGCCATCCTCTTGTGTTCCCCGCCCCCCACCCCCTCACGCCCCAACTAGTGTCTCTGTGTGTCTCCACGTAGATCACACAGACATGACTTTGGTCATCAACTCTGTGGGGTGGCTTGTATCTCCTTCCTTGAAAAGTTCTCTAAAATAAAACTTAGATTTCTAAGCTTAGGATGGCTAATAGGGAATTTTAGTTTATTAAAGTTGATTTTAAAAAAGCCTAAATTAAGAAAGAGAACTTTTTTGAAAAGGGGAAAATGAACACACTTGAAGGGAAAATACAGGTTTGCTAGAACAGACTTTCTCTCCCTAAAAAGAAAATGACACCAACGTTTCATTTTGTACTGCAACATTGTCTATTTTGCACTGGATTTAAGTAAGCTGAATACTTACAGTAAAACATGTCACCCAGTTCTAATCAGGAGAAGCAAATTACCAAAAAAGTTTTTCTACTTAATGGAAAATTTCTAGAAATTGTTACTTAGTCATAAAAATGTTCCCATATCTACTTTTATCTTTTAAGTCATCCAAAGGCCAGATGTTGAGAAAATGGGGTGAAGCCTTTCCTTTTACTCCAAACAATTGGCAGCCTATAATACAGCTTAATTAAATAATTGCTTTGGACTGTCTTGGGTATAATTAATCATTTAGCTCTAGAGATTGCTGGAAACCACAGTGGACACAAAATTCAAGGATTCAGGGTTTCTAAGATGTAAAGTTTTGATGTTCTCACAGTCCTTACTGGCCCCACGCTAGATAAGCGAATGTAACTTAAGTCGAATGTCATAGATATTCAGTTGTAAACTTGGAGTTGGAAGTATCTCAGAGTATGGAATTTAAATCCAGGAGACTTTGAAACTGAGAGTCTTTTTCCCTTGGTGGAGTAGGGGAGAAAGGTTAGAAGATAGTCTCAAATGTTTGGGAAAGTTGAAGCCTGTGGGTATCTTCTCTTCGGGGAGAGGAGGAGAATTGGGAGGATACTGGACCGGCCAGCACAGGGAGTGTGAGGCCAAGTTCTCGGGCAGTGAGCTGGGCATGGTCAACGGAGGGAGCAGAAGAGAAACAGGTGGCTGGGGGTGACAAGGACCATCCCTTATGGTGCTCTGCCTAGGATCCAGGCTCTGGGCTGTGCCCATTACATTTATTACCCATCGGATCTCCACAAGGCAGCAGCTCTGGCCATTCTCTCCACTGTCAAGGGCATGCACGTGGCTTGAGGCAGAGCTGGGACCATGTGTCTAAGTCACAGGTTTCTCAATCCCCATGCTCTCCTGCCTCCCTCCAGCGCTGTTTTGAGAGGGGTGTGGGGCCTGGAACAGGGACGAGAGTGATGGAGGCAGAAGTCGAAAGGAAAGGGACGAGAGAAATGGAGCTGCTGCTTTGAAAATAGGCAGGCTGACTTTAAATGTTAAAATCCTGTTGTTTTTCCTTCAATGGAAATGAAGAGGAATCTATTAAAATTTTAAATTGATTTTGTTAGCTATTAAAGAGAAAACTCAGGAGACCTACCTATATTTCCTCAAGATGAGCTTTTGTCCTTCTTAAAATTCAGTTTTTAACCTCCAAAGCAGTTGTGTCCCCGGCAATAACGCAGCTTAATGTTGTTGTTTCTATTATGATTTTTCTTACTAGTCCCAAGCAAGCGGGATAGTGGTACATGGATTTTGACTACTTGTAATAAGATAATGATTAGAATATATGAATTATCTGGGCTAGTTCCATGTTCTATTGCTAACTGAATTTTCTTGGGAAAAGGCTTTTGGTTTCAATAGCACGCTGCCAATCATAAGTTAGAAACGCAGTTGGCATGAAATATTTTTTTTTTTTTTTTTTGGTGAGGAAGATTGGCCCTGAGCTAACATCTGTGCCCATCTTCCTCTATTTTGTATGTGGGACATCTCCACAGCATGGTGTGAAGAGTGGTGTAGGTCTGTACCAGGGATCTGAACCTGCAAACCTGGGCCACTGAAGCAGAGCGTGTTGAACTTAACCACTACGCCACTGGGCCAGCCCCTATGAAATTTAATTTCAGGGGTTTTTTTTTGGAGGAGTTCATGGGTAAAATGTTACATCCCACCTCATATAAGATTGATACACAGTGATGGTAGCAATATTAGTGAACACATAAGCACCACAGGGTTTATTTTCAATGAGTAACTTCCATGTGAACTATTGATGAACAATCAAAGCAAATATTCACGATCCCCTACTATGTGCCAGTACTGGGCTAGCGCCTTCAAAACACACACAGATGTCTCACCCATGCTTCCCACTGCAAATGTAATCCATAACCAGGCTCGGGAGGCGTGACAAAAGACCCCAAACATTAAACTATTATAAAGGATTTTAAGAATAGTTATTATTGTCATATCAGTAATAATAATAGCAGCTACAATTTATGAAGAGACCACTCTGAGCCAGGCTCCTTTTCAAAACAACAGCTTTTTTGAGAAATGATTCACATACCATTGAGTTCACTCTTTTAAAGCACGCTATTCAATGGTTTGTAGTATATTCACTGAGTTGTGCAAACATCACCACTATCTAATTCCAGAACATTTTCATCACCGTCAAAACAAACTGTACCCACAAGCAGTCACGCCTTACCCTGCCCTGCCGCCACGAGCCGGGCTCTTGAATTCTTGATTTTCTCTAACATTTACAGCAATTCTGTAAAGCAGGTATCATGAGCCCCTTTTACTAGTAGGCAGCCAACGATAAGAGCCCAAGGTCACTGCAGTGGGTTGAATAGTGTTCCCCAAAAAGATATGTCCAAGTCCTAACCCCCAGTACCCGTGAATGCG